TAGAACATTTGAGAGGTTATCTTTGGGCTACTTAACTAAAACTTTTCCTTCTAATCTCTGTATATCACTAGAGGGCACTGTGGTATTTAAACCACTCTGACCCCTTTGAGCAATGTAACTATTGGAAAGGTCTTCAACTTCCGCATAATGTCAGAAAGGTTAATAAGGATGTTGTAAAAGAACTGCAACATTCAAATTGGAACAGTTGCTCAAAATATGTAAGTCTAAAAAATAAAATCAATTCTTTCATCAATATGTCTCAACATGTTTTCACGAAGAACAGATTCCATGGAACAACTGCACCTTAGCTGCCTTACCATCATTTATAATGGATTAACAGTTGGGAAACTCCTTTAGCCAGCAATATTTTATGTTTGAAAAATCAAACTGGGGGCATCATGTATTTAAAGATAAGAACACATATAGACAAAAGTCTTTTCTGCTGTAACCATTAGATTCAAAAGTTTCTGTTGTGCTCACTGCAAGATGATTTCACTGCAGAACATTTTGACATGCAAATGATAGCAATTAATGTGTTTGAAACAATTTATGATTTCCGGCTTACTTCAACATGTATTAGCATATACCTGGTTTCTTTAACACACACTTTGTTTTTCCAAAACCACAAACATCGTTGCTGGAATTTCATGTGGAAGTGCTTAAGGGGTTGAAAGTTAACACCTTTGTGAGCTGAGCTGCCTCACAGTTGCTGCTAAACAAAAGCCTCTTTGTAGAAGCTTTCTTGAAATGTTTTCTTAACATGTTCCAAGTAGTTTTAGGCAGGCAACTAAAGTAAACAAGATGTTACCATGATAAAAACACTTGTGAAAACATTACAGAGTGCACTTAGTAGTTTCTTTCATAGAAATCCTCCTTAGTTTCATTAAAGTTAAAATCACATGAAGCACACAACCAGCATCTCTCAATGTAGGGATTGCCACATCTCTCAAAAGAGTTATGTATCCTACTTAAAATGCATATTTAAATTAGAGGTTATTGTGAGGCTGAAAATACCCAAATCATGATAGAATTAAAAACAAACAAACAAACAAACAAAAAACCCCACAAGGTCCAGTCCTGCACCACCCAGTTTGGTCCTGTCTTGCAATATGTGCCCTATGGATGCCGGCATGTATGTTGACAAGTATATCATTTGTCAAGATACGGGCGTGTTTCTTGACAAATATATCATTACTTATCTGAAAAAAGATTTCCCAAAACTAGAAGCACTG